CTTTGAATTCAATATCATATAACACCCCCCTAATCATGTGAATTTTCACTTTCTTTCCCGCGGCTACAATATCCAAAATTCTTTTTCTGTAACTCAATTGTTTTCACCACACTTTCAAATTCCTGCAGAGACAAACTACCCAGAGTGATATTAGTTCTAGATTGCTTAGAGGTTCCACTTCTTCTTTCCTAGTAACTCAGGCTCCTTCACATCCCTTGTATCTTCTAGATTAATGTAATCAAACAGCTTTCTTTTGTTACCATCATCTTTATACCACCCCTGCTCGGCCACTGATTCTACTTTGAAATCAATATCATTTAACATGAGTTCTTTGGTGGTAATCTCAGTTCTAGAGGATATTTTGCTCAGATCTCTTATTCCACATTTTATCCTTATATTTTGTTTGTCGTGTAACGTTTCCACATCCACCTCCACCACGGGTCCTAGAGATGACCCATTCACATACTCCAAGAAAATGCCTCAGGGTGTCAGGTACCCCTGTCATATGCATCCCATACAAAAGTTGCACGGTTTAATGGCATAACATCGACACACATGGCTCTGGCATCCTCACTACCAAGTGTGTCACCGAGAAGTATGCCGTCAGGCAGTCCTTTCGACCCCGTTGTGGCACCCTTTACCGAACAATGACAGGCAATCCCCTAGCATGCATCGACGTCAGCAACAGTCAATGCATGGAGCCACGGTAGTGCACGGCTCGTCGGGATAAGAAGTAAGGAGGAGAGAGATAATGACACCCAAAAAAAGTTCATGGCCCAAAAAAGAGCACTGGCATGGCAAGTGGGATACTAGAAAACCGGTGACATGTCAGTGGGTTTCCCTCCTTTCTGGTTTTGTACGATTCGTGTTCGGTATCAGAACATGAGGGACCAAATGTATGTAGCCGAAAAAAGGATAAGGGAGCAAATGTTAACTTGTTGTAAATCCGAGGGGCCAGAAATATACTTTTTCTCTTTAACAATTATGTAGTTTCCGCGTCTTAAGATTAATCTCCATAACAGCGAGTTATTTTGTTCTTGTTTTGCCGGAATCTGGGGATTCTCTGAGAATCCGACCCATACCCAGATCGGTCTTGGGGCTTGACTTGAGGGATGGGCCTTGTTCACCATGGGCCTTGAGGCCATGGTTTCCGGCGTCTCCACGAAGACGAAGGAACCAACCGGCGACTTGTTTGCGGTCCGTCCGTCCGTCCGTCCGTCCCCAAACCCAAACCCTCCTCTCCTCCACTTTCTTTCGTGCATCCCACGCCCGCCTCCGCCGCCGCCATGGCCGATCCGCGGCTCTACCCGTCGGGATCGGGATCCGCCCCTCACCGCGACGAATCCTCCACCACCACCGACGGCTCCGGCCGCCGGCTCTACGACCCGTACCAGGACCTCAACATCCCCACCGCCTACAAGAACCTCTACGACCTCCCCACCTCCCCCGAGTTCCTCTTCCAGGAGGAGGCCCTCCTCCAGCGCCGCTCCTGGGGAGAGAACCTCACCTACTACACCGGGGTCGGCTACCTCTCCGGCGCCGTCGCGGGCGCCGCAGTCGGCCTGCGCGAGGCCGCACGCGCCGCCGAGCGCGGCGACACCGCCAAGATCCGCGCCAACCGCCTCCTCAACTCGTGCGGCTCCGCCGGACGCCGCGTCGGCAACAGGCTCGGCGTCATCGGCCTCCTCTACGCCGGCATGGAGAGCGGCATGGTCTCAGCCAGGGACGGCCACGACGACTGGATCAACAGCCTAGTCGCGGGGCTCGGCACCGGCGCCCTCTTCAGGGCCGCCCAGGGCCCCAGGTCTGCCGCCGTCGCTGGCGCCCTCGGAGGGGTCCTCGCCATGGCCGCCAAGCAGGCAGCCAAGAGATACGCGCCCGCCTTCTGATTGATTCATTGATTCCCTCCTCCTGCCGGCCGGTATTATTAATCTTAATCAATCGCTCGCTCGCTGCTCCTGTCTGTCATCAATCAATCGAATCAATTGGCCAAGGATCTAGTACTAGTTTCTTCGTTTATTGCTGTCAGAGTTAATTATTTGAGAAGGGTCATCTTCTCGACATTATTATGATATGTTAAAGTGTTATGCTATATATGAAAACAACAACGATGCCATCGGTATCATCGGATCAGCAATTTTTTGACATGCCTTGTTGCAATGTATGTAACATCATCTTCTTTCTCTCTTCATCACTACTACTACTTGGTTAGCGACCTAGATAGATTGTCGTGGGTGTCAGACTCCCTCAATAACTTACATTATGCTGGAGAGTCGAGGAAATCATGGAATGTATTGTTCATTGCATGCTACTCCCTCTGTTTCTAAATACAAGTCTTTTTAGACATTTCATTTTGCACCGTATGTAGTCCATATTGAAATCTCTAAAAAGACTTGTATTTAGAAATTATCGTGGTGCTTCATGTCTGATGAAATATTTATTTTGCCGCAGAATGGCAGGTTAATTGGGTATTTCTCTTATCTTTCTGCTCATGTCATTCTTCTTGAATGCCACACTGCTATTTCAAGAATTAACTAGACTTGATGAAAAAGTTGAGCTTTTTGCATTCTACTACTCACAGTGCCGTGCGTTCTACTTGGGTGCCTTTTCTCATCTTTCTGCACATGTTATTGTTACGGAACGCTATACTGCTATTTCAAGTAACTAGACTAGAGTTGATGAGAAACTTGAGCCTTTTAGCATTCTGATAGTTTAACAACAATGCGTTGCTAACTCACAATGGAATGCTCTTATCCCTATATCCTTTATACAGTTATGCCTATTCCATTCGACCTAGCTGGTGGGTGTCAGACTCAATAATATGTTTGTGTGCGTTTACATTATGCTTGCTGGAGAGTCCAGGACATTGTGGAATGTAATGTTCATTGTAGAGTAACTAATTTCGCTAGGTTATCTTGGTGCTTCCTTGGCCTCTCTTGTGGTGAAATATTTGGCCGCAGAATGCTATTGTTACACAAGACTTGTTACTGCTATTATTTATGAATAACTAGAGAGAGATGATGAAAAAGTTGGGCTTTTTGCATTCTATTCTAGGTCCTTTTTTGATCTTTCTGCACATGTTACCGTCACAGAATAATGCTCTACTGCCATTTCAAATGACTAGCGTTGATAAAAAAAAGTTTGAGCTTTTTGCATTCTCCTTGGGTTCTTTTCTGATCCTTGTGTACATGTCATTGCTACAGAATGTGATTCTGAGAAACTTGAGCTGTTTGCTTTTTGGTATTTTTATTTTAACAATGCATGCATTGCTACTCACACTAGGATGATGTACTGTTATTTGGAATTCATCAGAAAGTTGAGCTTATTGCATTCTGCTATTGAACAATGCATTGCTTGCTACTCACACTAGGATGCTGTATTGTTATTTGGAATAACTTGAATTCGTCAGAAAGTTGTCGAACAATGCATTTGAATCATTGTTATATTTGCACTTGTCCATGGATAGATTCTTAATTCGGTTAAGATATATCACCTCCGTCCCAAAAGGCTTGTCTCAGATTTATCTAGATACATACAGATGTATCTAGAGTTCTAGACACTAAAACAAGTAATTCGGGATGGAGGCCTATTTCGATCCTGGCAGCTTGCTAGTGGTGGCATATGCATCGATCCTAGTGCATATTGGCGCTCTTCCAGATTTTATTTATTGTTACTGGATTGGTGTACTTGCTGCTTTCAAGTAACTTGATGAAAAATTTGAGCCTCACTTGTTTCTTGAGATGTTAGCACTGGTATTTTGTACCGCTGTTTCCGTTATTAGTGGGGCAGGCAAAACTGATGGTTTTGCATTATTGAGTTATTTTGCTTTTCTCCATACATTCTTTATATATGATGATATTCTTGCCTATTTCAATCCTGGCATCTCACTAGTATCGGCATATATATGCATCCTGGTGTACAGTAATATCTACAGGAATAACTTGATGAAAACTTGAGTTGTTTGCGTTCAGTATTGCACAGTGCACTCAGATGGATGTTATTATCACTGAAATGTTTGTGCTATATTGATGAAAAGTTGAGCTTTGTGCATTTTGGTATTGCAAAAATAATAATACATGTGGGTCACAGCACAGGGTTGTTTATCATTTTTCCCTATAGTAGCAATAATATTTATACAAGTAAGATCATTATTTATCCCATTCAAGCCCGGATATAATTTGCTCTTTGAAGATAGATAATTTTGGCAGGCATTATGAAATTCCAGACTTGCGTGTTTTGCAGCATATGAATCTTTTACTAGTGATGATGATGTTGTTGGTCATATTCCGGCCTTCCTTTGAGGTAACTTTCCAATTGGTGGATCGAGTTGCTCTTGCAACAACCTTGGACTTTATGAACTCATCCGGTTCATAAGCATTACGGTTTAGCTGTCTTTCACCGGTTTAGTGATTGTATTTGGAAGACGAAACGAGCAGACCGATTTTCAAACCAATCGAAAGTCGAATAAAAATCTCATGAGGGGAGTGTCCCTTTCCTTGAGCAAGAAGAAGGGTTGGGAGAATTGCTCCTTCCTTCCTTCCTACAATAAAGGCTCATGTTATTGTAAGATTGCGGATCTCTGTTTGTTTTTTAGCTGCGGAGGTGAGCGTGCAGTCTTCAGTTACAACATGTGTTGTATTCTTCGCCTGATTTTTTTTTTGAGAAATCATAATATGAGCAATTTTTGGGAGCGACCGTCTGATTGGCGCCTTTTAGTCCATTGGATGGATCTCAAGCGCCTCTTTCCTCTAGCAATGCAGGTTTGGGGAGAGATTCCGGTCCTCGAGCATAATTTCTACTCTTTCATAAAGAAATATAAATATAAGAGCATTGATCTAAATGTTTTGTTATTCTTTTTACATCTTTTCCCCCTTGATCTCGTGCATCTTTTTCCCCTTGATCTCGTGCATCTCGCTGACCCATTGGTTCTCCCAGAAGCGCTTGTTTTGGTGTAAGCCATCCCAACCCAAGAGCTCCGCCTCTCCGGCGAGCCCCGCAGCCGTCGTTTCCATCGTCCCTGAGGGCAACCGAGGCCACCATCAGCACCACCGCGTCCACCCGAGCCCCTCCCCGTCCCCAAGACTCCCCGAGCGCCAAATATGTTGAACCAAGGGCGTAGCACCGTCGTTCTGGCGACATCTACGGTGACCTAACACCGGTGAGGCCCAGATCTAATCTCGTCCGTTTGTTTCAATCCAACAGCTCACTTACCAAATCGGTACCGGCCAATCACGTCTTGGCACATGTCCCACCTTATCCAAAACATTATTCAGAACAATTTCCGTTTAATTGAATTATTTGGTAGTTCTATAGAAAACCCCTGGGCAATGCAAGACTTGCTCTTTCTGAGCTAAAGCAAGAGCTTGAGAAGAAGAAAATGTCTGACAAATCTACCACTAGCATTCATCAGGTTATGAGGGCTAAGGCAGAGAAAGAGAGGGATGAGATGAAATATCTAAACTGGAGGTCAAATAAATAAACTTTAGTAATTATATTGATTCAAAACTAGAGGTAAATAAATAAACAGGTTACTGAATTTTATTGATGCAAGCACAGATAAGACTTGAATTGAACTCTAGTCTAGTAAATAACTTTGGGATTTATAGTTGACCTTAGTCTAAAAAAACTGGAGGTTAAATAAATAAACTTTAGTATAAATTATATTGGATTTGCATTTGATTTTAGAAAAACAATAAAAGAAAATTGAGTTGGGCTTGAACTGCCGTCAAAGTAGGAGTTGTAGAATCGGATTTCACCACGGAGATACATGACCCTCTTTCCTCTTTAGTAATAATAAATAACGTAACCAACATATATAGCCGCCGCCACCCAAACCGATCACCCATTGATCCGTGGCAGTGGCAGTGCCATGCCGCCAGACCACGCCGGCGCCGGCGTCAGCCTGTCACCGGATATGCTGGCCAACATCCACGGCCGTCCTGGGCTTTCCCCGACCGCCTCGCCTTCGCCGTGGTCTTCCGCGCCTCGCGCCACGCCTTGAGGCCGGAGGCGCCATGCCTCCTCCTACCAGGCCGGACGCCGGAGACCGCCACGCTCTTCTCCGTCGCCCCGAGCCCACGCCTTCATTGGCTCCTCTCGCGGGTGGCTCGTAACCGCGGTACTCTAGCTAGGTCTAGAATTGTTTTTTTTCTTTTTTTAATTTCAAAATCGAGGGATGTCGTAGTTTTTATTAAAAGAAAGAAGTATTTGGTCAAAAGTTGAATGAGCGTGTCATGCAGGGTTAAATTGCAAGATAGACTGATGAAACACATGATGCATTAGTGTATATATATAAATCTCACGGGTGATTTGAAGACAAATTGAAAAACATGATGTGTTAGTTAAATAAATAAATATCATGATAAAAAAATAAACTATATGTCCAAAAACAATACTTGCACGCACGGGCATTTTATTTTTGCTACTATTAATAAATTGGTAAGGTTTTTTTTAGGACTAAGCTAAGCTTTATTGATCATAATCCACATGAAGTGGGATACAGGTCGGATTGTGAGGGTTTGCCAGCCATACATGGCGCCCCACACCGAGAAAAAGTGCATGCTTAGCTAAGCTATGAGCTTCACCGTTTGAAGAACGGTTTTCAAAAACGAAATTACAAGTAAAATCCTGAGATCTAAGTTTAATTTCTGTTATCACTGAACCATAAACTCCCTGGTTCCCCAGCTTGATATCATCAACAACCTGCTTGCAATCGGACGTGACCGTTATGTTTCGCTAGAGAAGATCTTCAGCCAAAGCAAGGCCTTCTCTGCATGCTATTGCCTCCAAGGTAGCTGGGTCGATGATTCCTGGCAAGACCAAAGCCGAACTCCCCAGATAGTTACCCACTTGGTCCCGGCACACTGCCGCAACTGCTCCACGTCGGTCA